AGTCACTGGGTGGAAAGCTGGAAGGTTTGCTGGGAATTGTCCTCCCTGCAAACCCACCCGCAGGAGAGGGCTTCGTCCCCCAGCACAGCTCCAGCAGGAGGGAGCAGCGCCGTGTCCCCTGGGCTGCCGGCGTGTCCCACGGCGCCGCGCAGATGTAGCGCGGCCAGTCTGCTCTGCTGACCCACTTGGAGCCTGGAGAGAGGATTGGATCAGAGATTAAGATTAAGACTTATTGTGGAGCTGTATTAAGTTAAGACTTTCACATTTCCATACATTTTGCTTTGTGAATTGCGTTGTTATTTTAAGGTAAGTAGGGCAGGCCTGCACAGAGCACACGCGGTGCGCGCAGAGCGGGAGGCTGCCCCTTCGCAGGTAGGACGACTTCTTTCAGCGAGCGCTGTCAGCGTAGCACATAGGCAGCCAGGGCCACGCTTGGCTCTGGACCCCCAGGGCCTGCCAGCTGAATTTATGAAAACCTCTGTTAACCAAAAGCTTTTAAACTTTAATAATTTCCATAAAGAGGGGATTATCATCTGTGAGAAATGCTGCTCTTGGGTAACTATTTCATCCCGTGTCAGTGTTGTCTGGCAGGCTGTTCATGGAGATGCAGCCCCTCCTGCAGTGATTCTGTGTCTTGTTGTGCTCTTCCCCACTGGCTGAGTGTTTAATAGGGGATAGGAAGGTGCTCTTGGGGCATTTGTGCTGGCTCTGTTACCCTCAGGTCACAAAGCGTGAGCGACTTGGGCAGGTCCTTCATCACCATGACCAATAAAGATACCATACTGCAGAAACACAATAGATTTTGTGCCATAAACTATTTTAAGGCATTTTAGAAGTTTCTCTATTTGCCTTTTTTTTTTTTCGTCCCCTAACACAACTCTTTTTGGTGTCACAGGTTGATGACTTAGCTGTTGTCTAAAGACTCAGGATTTTCAAAGAGTAGGAAGCCAAATGGTTTAATCGGGACAAACAAGTCTTCTGTGAGACAAAACGGTCACCGCTGGCCCCCGGGGAGCCACCGTGTGGCCGTGCCCTCCATCTCCCCCATGCGCAGTCACCTCCTTTTCCCCTTGCACCTTTGCCTTCACACACTGGCAGCAACCTGCAGCCATGCCAAAAACTGGGGGTGGGGGGTTCTCCTTGACGGAGCCCAAGGAGGTTTGCCCTGTGTTTTGGACTTGGACGGCTTGGAGATTACTGGAAAGACATGCAGCTGAGGAGGGGCTATCTTTCTTTCCTGAAAGAGAAGAGATGCATCTGGCCTCCAGGACATTGCAACAACTTGGTTAGGAAGGCAGAAAGCAAGGGGCAAAACTGAGGACTTTCTGTGTCGATAGGTAGCACCGTTGAAGGTGTGGGCCTTTGCGGTGGTTGTGTGGCTGTGCTTTGTAAGGCACGGAAGGTCAAAAGGGGAAAGGGAAGGGGAACAGGTTTTTTGGCATTACTTCTCAGGGGTGATACAGGTAGAAGAATTAATGAACGTTCTTTCCCTGTAGCTTTGTCTAATGTGCTGTAGCTCCTTAGTTTTCCATGTGCCCAATATGTGCCCAGTTCCTTTTTCCTGCCTATGTTTTCTGAAGTCCAATACGATTTGGGATCATTTTGCAGCCTTTTTTTTTCATGGGAACATTACTTTCCTCTCCAATCAATCACCTGTTCTCATAAAAACTTAATATATATGGAGACTTCTGCCAGCCAAACTTAGCTGAAATTTCTTGATGGATCCAAAAGGCATTGGGATGCAGGAGGGGTGAAATGAACAGAGTTTTACACAAACACATACACACAGAGAAATGTCAGAAGTGCTATTTCCTTAGAAAATAAGAGAGAAATAATCTTGCTGGCCATGGAGTCACATGGAGTCAGTGTTAGGAGTAAAGTTCATGTAGCAGGTGCAGAGGTACAAGGCAAATTCATTTTCCCCCCCCAAGTTGCACGCTTTCCTCCATAGCTGTAAGGTTTTCTATATAGTCTCACTGTCATGCTATACCCTATGTGGGTCTCTACGTACCTGGGGGTTATCCTGTCCAGCCCGAGAAGAACCTGGCCAGGGCACACCATCGCTCCATAGTGAGCTGCCCATCCGTATTTTCTCCTTCCCATGAAATCCGGGAGGAAGGTGGGCAGGTGGGTGGCATCCCAGTACAGCAATAAGACACAGCAGGCACAGGCACCTGGAGCAAGGCCCTTGGGTACAGCTCACGTGGGCCATTTCCAAAGAAAGCTGGGGCATATTTAGCCACACATATATAATTTTGTGTTGATGTTCGGTGAAACAGCTGAAAGCAAGCTCATGATATCTGTGAGACGTCTGTCTTACAGAAAACAGCTACAGCAATCAGCCAAGTGACAGCAGTAATACACCTTTTATTACATAACTAGTAATACAGTTGTATAATTGTGAGTGCTGATGTGAAATGCCGATGGCATTTATTATATCAATTAGGATGAGCACATATTTAGGAAGCACAGTAGGAGTCAATCATAATTGCTCACATAGTCTTTCTTGGGCCACATGATTGACTTCCTTTGAATAGTGGAGCATTTGCATTGGAGAAGCAGTTACCCTCAGTCTGTTGATTTTGCTGCAGCATGTCATTGTGTCTGGAGTCTGAGCTTGTACTTCTGGGATAGACCATTTGTCAAAGACTGGTTCCACTGAGCTGTAGAAAACTGAAGAAATTGAAAATATCCCCTTCCACCGATATTGTACTTGGCCATATGGAACATGCCAGCAGTCAGTCCTAGACGTGCTACCTTCTGAGGTAAGTTCATTCATCACATGTGCTCCTCATAGCGGGAGTAGCTTAACCGGGTGCTATGTATTCTCTTACTCAAATCTTCTCTTTATTTTTATTCAGATCTTGTTCAGCTGTTCCTCATATTCTCTCTTTTTTTTTTTTTTTCTCTATGGGCTAAGTTTTTTCATTTCAACATGCTGAGTGAAGTTTTTTATCCACGAAATTGTCAGGAAGAGCAATTCAGGTTTGTGTGGGTGTGTGAGAGACACAGAGAAGCAGTGAATATATTTCCATACATTCCAAGCAAAACTTTTCAGATATATAATTCCACAACAAAAAACTCTTTCCAACTTTGGCTTATTATGTAAATTCCAGCATGAACCACAGAGCAAACTGTCTTTTCAAACAATCTGGTTCTGTTTTCTGAAGTTACTGTGCATGCAGGCACAATATATTTGTGTTAGGTTTCATAGCTTGAGTTTCAACTTAAAATGTACTCACGTACTGTAAAGTACTGTTGGATTTTTCTATTCAGTCGAAAATGTCTTTCATCACCAAAGGCTCTTTGATTGTTAGGTGCTCTGGGAAGGAGTTTCTGGTTAATAACAACTTTAAAAAATCAACTGTCTAAAAGCTGGGGCCTAAGGGAGGAGAGGTTCTGGAGTTCCTCTCCGTTTTCTCAGAGGTGTTCTGTTCTGATGTGCTGAACTTATAAATACAATTATTTTCTTTTGAGTGCCGTCTCTTTCTTACAATCTTAAAAGTCAAGATGAATTCTTGCCTGCCAAATCATTATCTCAGGAACCCTGACTCATGTGCAGCTACTGACTTCTTACCTGGAGGTATGCATCTCATCCTTACCCATAACAAATCATATCTGGAGCTGGATAGATATCAGGCATAAAGGAAATGTGACTTTTCAGTAGACGTATATTGTTTTATAAAAGGTTTCAGGGGGAAAAAAGAAAGAGAAAAATATTGAGGGATGGTGTTATAAGAGCTGAAGAAAAGTTCTTAGGTGCCTCCATATTTTATAATGTTTCTTTGGCCAGTTTCAAACCTAGGCAGTTTGACTCGCCCCATTGGTCTAAGCGCAGCTATTCCAAGATTTGTACAAATTATTATTGATATTTTTCAGTCAGAGGCTCAGAATGTGAAACGCTGTCTTTTTGGATGAAAAACAGTCTACGATATGTATTACTAGCGTATGGGTCACTGTTGGGTCGACAACTCTTGTCTAGTATTCTGAAACCAACGGCTTGCCCAATGCCCCAGCCAAGTAAGCGCTACCTCTGGTAGTAAAATGTGAGTATAATCTATGAAAAGCTTCAGTGGGAGAGATACGGTTAGTGGCGCAAAATATGAGTCTGGGAAAGCTGGGAGATCTATTGCCAGGAAACAAAATTTGATGGTAAAGAAAGATGCTAAGTTAGAATAGTGTTAAAGTTTCTCTTACTGGTGGCAAATGGCTTTATGTGAGCGTTCAGCTTGATGACTCATTACAAAGCTCTGAATATGAAGTAGGCAGAGTGTTTTTATAACCTGGAGTCTCTTAGGAGTAATAAGGGCAATTTTTTTCCTGAGTTCTGCTCCAGCTAATCCTGGACCTGAAAGTTTTGAAGTTGTGTTTCTGCGCAATTCGCTATAACTTGAGGGCAAAGCAGAATCTCTGGTCCTTGCTAGCTGTGACCCACTCTTCTCCCCTTGTGTGGGAGAGCCACTAGATGGGGACACTTCCCACATCTCCCAGCATGCCCATGTTTAGCCACTGGCAGCTGGTCTAAGGCGTCATTAAAGAATTAATTTTATGACTGTGAAATATATAAAGTCTCCTAGTAATGTTATGCTGGCAATGCTGCTGTCACACAGCTCTTTCCTTACTTGCCTGCAGACCAGCCCTTTGGCCCTCATGGCGCCATGCTGAAGCCTGTGAGAGGTCTGTGATTCGCCTGAACATGCACATTTGTAGACGGTGCTGGAGGATGCACCCCAGCATGTCTTTACAGCTGTGGTTCAACCAACAAGAGCACAACAGCTCTGTCAGTTGTACCTCTGCCTCCTCAGTATCATGTGGCAATTTAACTGTACTTGGAAGGTGTCCCCTTTGAATTAGCAGATAAAGTGGTTGTTGTGCACTTTAGTCCAAAAATACAACAGGGACACTGACAGCACGTATTACTTAAGCACATACATGCATAAGGAAAAAGCCCTAATAGTTGGAGTTCTTTCTGTAGTGTTCATAATCCATTTTCCTTGCACGTGCTGGCCGCTCTTTCCTTTGACTCCGAGGATTTCATTATCCCTAAACCATGTCCCTTCAGAGCTATTGGAACTAATTTCCCCTATTTTGTAAATTGGTGTCATACCTCTGTCTTCTAGTGCAGTTCTTTCATGGGCTTGTCCTCTCACCATTTCAAATTTAACCTGGTTGTTGCCCTTCCAGGTCCTATGTAACTGTTTTTCTGGTTTTTAGACTGCGTTCTCTTCTGTTCGTTCCTTCATTCCCTCCTGTGCTAACTGCTTCCTTGCTCTTTTTTCATTGCTTAATTCTTTTATCCTTGTTTTTTCATTTTAGTTGTCTAATGTTTCTTCCGTTTTGTGCCAGTCCACTTTCAAAAGCGGCCTCTTAAATTGCTGGGTTAATATTTGACGGTGTGAATAGGTACAAGGTGGAGTTGGAAGCTTTGCCACTCTATTCAGCAAGCCCTTCTTTTTGCTGTGCTGGCGCCAGGGTACCTGGGGTGGTAAGTCTTTAAATGCTTCCGTGGTTGGGAAGCTTGGCCGTACAAGGGGGTGAAGTGGAGCTTTTTGTGTGTGTCTGCTTTGCTATTTTTTTAAACACTCCTGATGGGTGTAATTTCCTAATAAGTGAAGAGTTGGTGTAATTTCCTAATAAGTGAAGAGTCATGAGATGCAAGCTCCTTCAAAGTGACGTGTTATGCTGGGTAACCGTTTCAAAAACATGCTACCAAAATACTAGCTTTCACTGTGGTCACAGCTCCAGGAGTTACTTTTGTCCTAATGTGACCATTCTCACTGCAGCTTGGGGCTGAAAGTTATTGCAGTATTGATATCTGAGATGACAGTGTTCAGTCTTCCTTCCTTGTATGTACTATGTTCCTGCGCTTCAGCTCTGTCTATTGAACTGGAGCTTGACTTACTGCCGTGCTATAGCACTAAGCATTTCTAACAGCCTTCTGATACTTTTAAATCCTATTTAATATTAGGAATCTAAATTAAGGTGTGGTAGATGCTGTATAGATATTCTGTATCTCTAAAGCCTGAGTTGCTGAAGACTTTAGGCACAATAGTGAAACAGCAAATACTGAAATTGTCTTTTTGGACATGGTGCCAACACCATCTCAAAAAGCTCCTCCTGCCAATCACCCATGGTGTGACTAGTACCTGTAAATACAGCTTATGTGATCTGACCCTTGGGAGGCTCTGCCTGCCCCTATTTTAAGACAGCATGGGACTTCCCAGATGACATCCTAGCCTTCATGAGGTTAGCAGTGCTGTTGCCTCTGCCTGCAGTGAACCTGGATTTCTTCTTTTCCTCCTCTCCCAAGCACAGGTCTTGAAGAGACTCCCAGCCAGGTAATAATAGCCTCTTTTGCACAGCTGTGGTGCATTATCTACCTCTATGGAGTTCCTTGTTCAAAGTGTCTTTCATTATTCACAATGGAAAGAACAAAAATCCCTACCAGTTATCATCTGGACTATTTTAAATCCCTGTTTTCTTCTCTCCTGCATTGTTCATGAGGAACTAATAGCAAAGCTTAACACCAAGGCTTCAAGCTTTTTAAGAGGATGTGAAATGAATTATGTATGAATATTATGAATATTGTTATGACATTATCACATTAATGTTATAAATGACTGTAAGCATTGCAAAGCAACTTCTGCCTCTGACAGAATATGCGAAACAGCTCCCTTCCCCCTGCTCAGCGCGGGTGCCCTTGGCAGTGCAGTCACCAACCAAAGGCGCATAGCGATGGCTTCCTCACTTGAGTTCGTCCAGTCATGTAACTAGGCTCTTCAGGGGTGAAAATCAACCACATTAGCCAGAAGAGGTTAACAGTTTTTTTTTCAGATTGGAGAGGAGCTTCTGTTATCATCCAGTCTATCATCTAAATCTCCTAAATAGCATAGGCTGTAGGACTTGCATTCAGGCCTCCAACAAGTTCAGTGGTGGTTATTAATTAACACAGATGTTTTCATTTCCCTGGGCATTAGCAAGTGTTTGTAATTTATGTAAACACTGTGGCATTCAGGTACAGTATCCCACACTTGCAATTTTCTGGAAAAAATGTTGCTGTTTTTCTGGAAAATAATTATAAGCCTGCCAGGTTCATAAATATCTGTAACTCATCCAAGAAAAATCTGGGAACTTTTGAGGCCTTCAGTGTAGGACAGGGCTTGTGTAGCTTTCTTCTTGTCCCTTTGGCTTCAACCTTGGCTTCAATAACAAGCTATAAGCACCTCAGTGTGGCGGGTGATCAGCCTCTTCCAGTGTCACCAGGGGCCTCCAACTCCTCATGGGCAGTCATGTCTCTCTTCCTCTGTTGCCACTGTGGAAATGACCCTGGTCACGGCAGCACCGTTCCCAGCTGCACCGACCCTGCCCTGGGGAGCCTCGGCGCTGCCTGTGGCAGCAGAACGGGCTCGGCCGAGGGACCGGGAGGTGGCCTTGGCATGACCTTCAGATCCTCCTGCCACCAAGAGCGAGCGGCGTGTGGGGAACAGAGCTGCTGCGCCGAGGCCTGTGCGGCTGCACAGCGGGCATGGGGCGGGAGAAGGGAGAAACGGCCAAGGAGTCGCGTGCTCCCCTGGGCGTTTGGTGTGAGGCGCTTGGGGAGCCGGCGCTCTGGTGAAACGGGGTGGCAGGTTCCTGCGCTCGCACCGGGCAGCCGCCCGGAGACCCGAGCCTGGCAATGGCGACAGGCGGGCATGAGCTGGGCTCGCGGGGGCAGTGAACAGGAACATTGGCTCCGCCGACTGGGCTTGAAAAGGAGGCTTTTTCCTTCTGAGAAAAATATACGTAAAGTTCTCCTGAATATTTATATTTTAGGGGGAACATTTGCTGCAATACAAAGTATTTTTAAAATGCACCAAAAATTCAAATGAGTAGTGTTTTTAATACAAATGAAGCTGCTGCTAATCAGGAGACAGAGCTTACACAGAAAAAAAATACCCAGAACTTAGTCTTGCAAGCAAGAATATTATTATACAGACACTTAGCATAATTGTTACATAAGAATAGGATCTAGTGAAACATTAAAGTGAATGTTTGACATTTAAGCATCTGGATAGAGTTAGTGGGGGCTATCATTTTACCTTTATGTCAGAACCCCTCCTGCCATATTAAAGTTAATTTCTTAGGTTTGAAGCCTGTGAGCTTTACATAAAAGTAAGGTTTAGCTTTATTTTAAATGAAAATACTCCCTGTTGTAGTAGTCCTTTCTCTCTCTCTCCTTCTCTCCTTTTCTCCTTTTTTTTTTTTAAAAACTTTTTCCCTGATTTGCCCTCAAACATGGGTGTCTGAGGCTGACAAATTGTCTCTGCAAATTAAGTCAAGCTGGAAGCTAGAGTACAGTGTTATGGCATAGCAGCAAATAAGATTTACATTTCCAAGCGAGAGTAGTAATTAGGCCACTGCATATTTTATAATTTCATGTTTATTTTCAAAGAGGTCTATCAAAATAAACATGGATGTGATGAGACGTAAGTGCTCCAAAGAGCAGTCAGGGTTCATCAAGTAAAAACTACAAATTACTATTCCATTTTGCTGCCACCCACAGTGTTGACATCTTTAAAATACTAGCAGGCAGGTACTCTGGCCAGCACTTGCTAATTGGGTCTGTAGTTAGTGACGTACTGGGTTTCTTTGATGTGAATTTTGAAGGGAGTAGGCCTAATCTTGAGAGATACAGCACTTAGCCCTGTGTTATGGACTTCATGTCAGCACTTGAAGTATTTGATGTTTTGCAAAGTAAAGTGTAGGTGTTTCTGCTGGTGTGGATGACGGTGGGGGAGCAGTCTTCCCCTCAACTTGAGAGGAAGAAGGTGGTCTGGCATCTCCCAAACTCTAAAATCTTATGAACCCGTGTGTTTTTCTCCCTCCTGCAGAGTGTCTATGTTGTCTCTGTGCCCGAGTGTGTTAGGTTAAGTTACTGGTTCCTCTTTCTGTGCTGGGGAGCTGGTTTGGGCAGTAACTACTGATTTCTGTGCAGTCTTGTATTGTTTGCCTACACGTGATGCTGCTGCTTTTCCAACAGAGTAATGTGACCACTATAAAAAGATCAGATGACTTGTAGTTTTATGCTAATTTAAAGTTTTTAACCTTTAAATACCTGTAGTACTATCCCTGCCTTGTTGTCTTTCCTCAGAATAGGTGGGTAAGTTGAGTTAGATGTAAAAATAAATGAATAAAGTCCTTGGAATTATTTTTTTTCATCGTTTTTGCCTCACTTTCCTATTCTTATGATGCAGTCCTTCACTGAAAAGTGCCGAGAGGTTTGTATGCATTATAAATGTGCTATGAGAAGGCAATCCGTAATGCTTTGGTTTTCTTCCCCACAGCTCTGATGGCGCACGGGCCTCGCTGTCGCTTTCAGAAGTAGCAAGCGGGCTGGCCGTTTTGGTCTGCCCTCCTTTGAGTTGCATCAATTCCAACCACGAGCCAGAAGTCACCCAGAGAGATGGAGCAGAGCTCCCCGCCACGGTGCGTCACCTGCGGCCAAGCGCACTTACCTGAAGAAAACCACTTGTACAGCTACACGGAGGAGGTGGATGACGACCTGATCTGCCACATCTGCCTGCAGCCTTTGCTGCAGCCCTTAGACACGCTCTGTGGTCACACCTTCTGCACGGCCTGCCTGACCAACTTCCTCTTGGAAAAGGACTTCTGCCCCATGGACCGCAAGCTCGTGATTCTGCAGTCGTGCAGGAAATCCAGCATCCTGGTGAATAAGCTCCTGGACAAGCTCCTGGTTAGCTGCCCTTTCGCAGAGCACTGCTCGGAGGTGGTGCAGCGCGGAGACCTGGAACAGCATTTCCAAACCCAGTAAGTCTGCGCTCATAGGTGGAGAGGTTTTCACTCCTCTTTCTTTTCCCTAAGGGAAGGGAATAGCATCTTCAATAAACTGATTAAAATGAACAATTAACGTAAAGGGAGATTTGGTAAACTCAGTCCCAGTGAATGCCTGTGGTATAAGGAGTCTAGACTTGAGTTTGGTCCATTCGTTTAGTTGTATCCTACTCTCTTTTTCAAGAGCCAAATACATTCAAGGTACTTGATGCTATCGTTAGCAATTCTGCGAGGATACCTGGTGGTTAGCTGCATAATGGAAGTGTATATTTAGTCATCCGAAGAGTTCCGTGAGGTTTCGGGAAGCTGAACTATCATGAATATTTCAGTAGTACATTAAGGGTTTTATAATTGCCTTTTCTTCAGCCCTCTTTTGATTCACAAATGACCTATATGTGAAGTAGAGCAGAAAACATTCTGGTTTGTATTGGTCTTCGGAGCATGGCTTGGAGCTCATCCTTGCAGGTGGATGTGTTCCCACCGCGCCGTGGGGCTCTCCGAGCTGTCGGCTCTGGTGCAGTGTGGAAGGCCTTGCCTTGCCCTTTTCCCTAGCCCAGACTTAGTGATCCTGGTGGTCAGGACACCCTCCCTGCTGGCTCTGGGAGACACATTCCAGGGGTTGGTTTGGATCTTCCGGAAGGAGATGGCGGTGAATAATCCTCCATTTTACTGGGTAAACACACACGCTGCCGCTTTTGTCTTCCTTTTTGAATGGGAGAATGAGGAGATACCTTCGGGGCTGTGATTTTTGACTGCAGACAAATGCTTCTGCCCAGACCAGAGCAGGGACCTCAGATCTGAGTAGAGCTGGTGTTTAAGACCTAGCCTTTGCCCACAGTCCTTTTTTTGCTGTTGGCCAGTGAAACAACTTCCCCTGCAGTTTGCTGGTATGAATTGTGGTCTTAGGTACATGCCTGTCCCTTAGGCTGTGCCTAAGCTAGGCTGTGCTTTAGCACAGCTTAGGCTTGTGCTTTATGTGGAAAAGCCCAGACAAGCAGCTTAGGGTGCCAGAGGGCAAATTTCTGAGCAGATGCAACACTACTGTGTTGAAGCATCCTTGCCCTATGTGGATCTCCCCTTCACGGCCTGAACCTGCTTGAAAGTCATTGGTGCTGCGTCGTCTTGGAGGGTAGTGAGCAGAGCAGAAGTGTCGTGGTTTAACCAAGCAGATGTACTGACTGTTTGGCATTATCAGAAAGGGGAAAATAAAAACATTAGCACTGATCCCTTTGCACATTAGCATCAGTCTCCTTGCAAAATGCAAGAGCACACTTTGCACATACTCAGTGCTTGCATGTTTGCAGGGCTTGTGCGCGTGCTTTGCCCCTGCCGAGTCTGGAATTGGATTTTACTGTTCATGGAGATGCTTTTTAATGGCTCTTGGTGTCAGCGGCCTCGGTCCAGGTCAGCCATGTTCTTGCCAGGTTGGCTTTCTGTTTCTGAAGGGAAAAATCAGCCAGGTTGCTTACAACTTTCTGCCTTTGGTCAGTACCTCCCTGACATGCCCCAAATTCAAATTTCAGCAGTAATGCAGGTAAAGGGATTAGTAGCTTGCTGTGAGCTGCTGTTTCTCTACAGATTTCAATGTTGAGACCTTAGTGCAAATATCTCTTTCCTTTGCTTTCATACTGCTGTCTTTCATGTACTCTGGATCTTCCCTTTTGACTTTTGTTTATCTTGAGATGATGGAGCCTTGGCCATAAAATTAACTTTACAGAACTCAGAAATGAGCATATTAGATTTTTTTTTCACATAAAAACCAAATGGTTTGCACAATTCCTGATTTCTAGTGTTGACTCTTCTGTATAGACATGTACAAGTCACTCCAATGTCTGCATTTCTTCCCCTCAGGATAGTATTAAATATGCCTTTCTCACACACGCCTTGCAGAACTGTGGCACTGTGAATGGAAATTTGATGCCATAAAAGTCTGGCGAATTTCATTCCAGTGCTTATTACTCATGTCAGTGGCCCAGATGTTTTTCTTGGGATCCATAAGATCTTATCCCTCTGGCTCACCTGGGCTGAACCAATGCAGCAGTAGGAAAAATCGGCTCAGTACCAGATTCCTGCAGTCTCTCTTCTATCCTGCCCTTCCCAAATCTCCCACCACGACGTTCCACCTTGGAAAACCTGGAGAAAGAGGGACTGGAAATACAGAGCAGTGACCTCCCTCCCCATCAAATCTGAAAGCTTGTAAGGAAGTTCAATACAAGGCGAAGCTGCAAAGCTGTCAGCAACCTCCTGGCTGCTCATGAAAACCCATTTTCCTCAGGTGATTTGGAGGGCTGAGTTACTGCATGGCTGAAGGGCAGCAGCAGGAGAGTAGGAATTAATAGGGTACTTTTGCTGCTGGGGGCTTCACTAAAATGTTTAAGTCCATTGCTATTCCTGAAGATGTGGGGCAGACCCCTGCCTTTCCAACCTGCAGGAGAATAAAGAGGTAACTTCGTGAATTTTAGCAGAATCACTCATATTGGGTTGTTTTGAAACATTGTGTCTGTAGGCAGTGTGCAGTGGTTTTATTTATTTGCTTTTAATGCAGGATTTGTTAATACTACTGAAGGTATTTATCCCTCCAAGGCAATCCTCAGGAGTGCAGGGACCTCCTGGGCCCCCGGGGTGCCAGCTGGGAGCCGCGTGGGAGCGGAAGGGCAGCGTGCTCTTCAGGCAGTGCCTCCGAGCAGGAACAGGGTCTCCCTCCGCTCCACTAGGTCAATAGCGCCCAGAGAGAGTGTAGGGCTTTAACAGTAATAATAATAATAAAGGAACCTGGAGCCTGTGGAGGGAGCGGCTCAGAGCCGGTCTGAAACCTTGACTGGATGTGATCAGTGTTCTCGGCGAATAAATTAAAGCAGGCTCTGTGCAAGCCACGGGGCGCTTGGCAGTTCTCGCATAAATCAATCCCCGACCAATCCTTGCTGTCAGGGAGGAAGCGAAACCTTGTCCCCATCAGCGATGAGGTCACTGATGGGACGAGGTGAGTTTGTGTTTTATGCTCTGTGAGAACTTTAATATTTTGTAACTCCAATTACCACTGCATTAAAAGCATCCCTATTTAAAGGGATGTTCTAATGTTTGCTCTTGCATTATTCAAAAAAAAAAAAAAGAGCGAGAAGAGAGGTGTCCTTGCTTTGCTACCCGATTGATATTTGCACAAAAGCATCTGACTGACTTGAGGATTTCAGAGTGAGCTCCCGCTGCCAGCCCTGAGCTGTGATCTTTTGCAGTGTTTTACTTTAAAAAGGTGTGGTCTTCCGATACAGCCTGCTTCCGAACTCCACGGGGGATATTTTTCCCCCCTTTTCAGGCGGCTAGACCCTTCCGTGATGCAGCTCGGCTCGTAACCCATCTGCTTGTGGGCAGTGATGTAAACGTACCAGCTGCCTCTGAAGAACCACTCTGAATACTGCAGGAGGCAGGTCTCTTCCCCGTGCATCATTCTGCTCTGCAGCATAAGTCACTGTCTCGCCAACCATGCTGTGCTGTCCCTAAACCCTCACGTCTCCCCATCTGAGAGCCAGACCGAGTAATCCTCTTACAGGTCAATGATTTTCTCAGTGTAGCTTCGTTTCAGGGATTTAAGCGCGATCCATAATGTGCCACCATTGCGTTGAGACGGAAAGGCTCGTGTAGAAGGGGCTTGGCTGCCACCAAAGCTTGGAGGTGCGTGTCCCACCGGCACGCAGGGAAGGTGGGAAGGAGGAGACCCGGCCCTGCCCTGAGAATGAAGGCTCTACTCTTGCTGGTCCTGCCTTGGCTAAGTCCTGCAAACTACATAGACAATGTGGGCAACCTGCACTTCCTGTACTCCGAGCTGTGAGTACGCACGCTCGCGTGTCCTTGTGCTCTCTGTGTGTCTGTCTGTCTCGGCGCTGCCGTGTTGGTGTCTCTCTCTGCGTGTCCCTGTGCCTCCGTGCGTGTGTGTGTGTGTGTGCAAAGGGAACCGCAAAGCCCATAGCCAAAAGCCCCGCCACCACCGAGCGGCGTCTCCACCAAAGGGCTAATAGCAGCAGTGCCTCTCCATCGCCTTCGCTCCGAGCGCAGGAGCGGCTGGGGCAGCCTGAGGGAAACAGCCTTTTTCCCCATCAACTTTGCCCCTCGGTGAAGCCCTTAGCAATGGTTGTTGGGTTTTGGGTGTTTTCCCCTTCCCAACCCGCGCCTTGCCGTAAACAGCGTTGCACGGGAGCTGGGCATTGCGGGGAGATGAGCTCCGCGGAGCCGCGCGCGTGCACAGCCACGGGCTCCGTGTGTAAATCTGTGTGCAAAGCGCCAGGGATCCCTCCAGCGGGGGAGATTCACTTGGGAGAGGGGGAAAACATTCCCGCATCTGTGTTTGTGCCAGCAGCAAAACGTTATTTTCTCTCTAATGCAAATATCAGTATAGCGGTCCATGTGCATATATATATATCTGTATATCTATATATATGCATCCTCATGTCTTAAAAAAAATGAAAATCCCAGGCAATCCCGTAGCTGAGCTTTCCAACCCATAAAACAAATACTCCGTAGTATGAGCAGAAAATGATGCTAGTTTAATTGGTGTTTGGATAATTATTGGGCCTCTGAGAATAGAAATAGATATTTGCTCCAGTATGATTTTTAAAATAATTTTATCCTGTTTATGTTTTTAAGAAATAGCCTCTAAAATATTCCTTGATAAAATGAAAGAAATAGCTATTTCTGCTCGGGAAGGAGAAATGACTATTTTGTGCCTAGAGTGGGGATGTTTCAGTAACAGTTGTGGCTGGTACAACGGATTTTTATTAATTTACAAAAGGTTTAGTCTCTACCAGCTGCAGTATTTTGCAGAAACAGAAAGGTCTCCTTTGAAATTCGTATGTGATATGTATGGCAGCTATAAATAATTTAGCTGTTCTTTGTGCCACTGCTCAGGGTTTGTGTGCGTGTTTTTAAACATTTAACAAATCTGGATTCAATGGTTATAGCTATGTCCTCATTTTCATTTAAAAGTATTTCGTTCAAGGACAAAAAAAAAAAGAAAAAAAAGGAAAAGGTCAGCTTAGCAAACAGGGCTCCAGGAAACACGCAGCTGCAAGCAGAGCAGATGAGCGTTTGCAATGGAAACGGTGGCATCTGAGACGTCTCATTTCCAGGAGAAGAGCCCAATGAGATTAATAGGAGCGCGCGCGCAGCCCCGCTGCTCTTCCGGGGGATTCGGGCTCGCTGCCCCTCGGAGCACGGAGGGCCGCTCCGCGCGGGAGCTGCCCCTCCGGCGCGCGGAGCGGGAGCGGTGCTGGCGGCGGCGCTGGACGTGCGGCC